ACAGCGCTCGGTATCGCTAGCGTTCGGCGTCCACATAGAATAATTTCTCCATGAATACAGGCGAAGGCGACTAGTCCATATTATGGCAAGCACAACACAATCATGACAAGTGCATTGACAAGTCTAGGCGAAGACTTAGGCTTCATTTGGGACAACTATCTTATTGCTTCCTAAAACAATTTTTAATACAAAATTTTGATTTTTATACTAGAAATATGCTTTAACAAACAATAAGAAAGTCATCCCAAATGAAGCCTTAGATTAGCCCAACAACATGCTACGTACGTAATTAAATTTGATTTGTTGGTTGGGAGCTTTGGCTACTAATAAGAAATATTGGATTCAAGCCTTCTGTATGTGATGTACGACTTTATCTTAATTGACATAAATGTCCCAAAAAAATACATGTTGCATGAGATCCACCACCTTCCTTGAATAGAAGGCTAAATAGCATGAATAGTGAAGCATAATTGTAAATTTGCAAATGCTAATTTTTTATTATTACTTATGTAAATATTTTTATATTTATTTTAAAATGAGTTCTAAAATTATTTTTTATATTATTATATATTATTATAATATTTTAAAATAAAATGTACATTTTTTTAAGTTTTTTTTATTAAATTTGGTTAGAAAATCTGACTAATTTATTGATGCCTTTTTTTCAAGTTTTAAACGTTATATTATTAGTTTTTTTTTAGGCAGGAATACTTAATTAAGAATCATATATTATATATATTTATATAATATATATATATATATATATATTAATATGCTTTTTTATTCTGATAAATAACTATAATTTTAGAACTCTTAGATCTACATTTAGCGGATGTTAATATTTTTGACAGCTTGAAATCCGACTTAACTCGCGACTGAAGATTTCGGGTTCAGGTCAACCTGAACTCTGGTGATTTTTTTATTCTAATAAAAAACAACTATATTTTAGAACTCTTTCAAGAACTCTACTTTAGGGGTGTCCAATATTTGACCGACTTAAAAACCCGACCCAAACCCTCGATCCGAATTTAATTGATTAGGAGGGTTTTAGAAGATTGTTATGAAAATCAGTAAACTGTTTTTTCAAAAATATATAAACATTTGCCAAGCCTGAATTAAGTTAGTTTTATTTTAAATTGATTGAAGTAAATTTTTACTTATTGATTTAGGTTAAATAAATGATTTGTTTAGGTTTAAATAAATCGAATTAATAAAAATATGTTATAACATAAAATAACCCAAGGCCTGAGCGAGTCGGGTTCGAATCGACAGGCTCGAAGCGGTCAGGTTTGGGTCGGGTTTAAAAAAACAGCGTCGTGTTATAATAACGAGTTTTGACCGATACCCGACAAAAACCCCAATTTTCACTGGCTTAGCTTACTGTTTAGGGAATAGAAGCATACAATAGAATGGAAAGAGGAAAAGCAAAACTTAAGGGGGCAATAATAATAATGTTTATAATTATGATTATTAGAGATATAATTAATAAATATTAGTTATAAAAAATATTTAATTGATTAATTAAATAATTATAAATTAATCTAGTCAATTAGTAATTAAAAATTTATTAAAATAACACTTAAAATTAATTAAGTGATTAATTGGGTAAATAATAATTAAATGATTACTCTTCTTCATGTCCGTTGAATCCATCCCCTGATAATATTGCTCAGGGGTCACATAATCCACGTGGTAGAAGCTTCAGCAAAAAACCTGGTAACAGGTTTCACTCTCGTCAACCTTCTAGGCCTCCTCGTGTGGAGCCTAAAACCACTGATGCTTCTACTTCTACTCCTGCGGCTGCCTCCTCTATTCCTTTGCTTCCTCTGCATACTAATAGCATTGGGCAACCTTTACATTACCAAATACATTCTCCTCCTCCTCCTTCCACTACGATTCTTAGGTAGAACAATGTCCCTGTTGAAGATCTCCCTCCTCCCACCTTGGAAACTGATGTTGTGGAAAATTTAATTGGTGAAACGTTGGTTTCTATTCCAAATTTAAACATTCCCACTGAAGAACTTTCGGCTTCTTCTAGCTCCCAGTTGGCTTCCTCTCTTAAGCCGCCCAAGAGTATTAATTCTCCTAATAAATTTGAGATCCTTAGCTCTCAAACTGACACGGATATGAATGGAAATATGGGGTCTACCAGTGATATTGTTGGGAATGCTCTTAAACAGCCAGGTAAAGGCAAAAAGCAAACCACGTCTGATAATTCAAAGAAATCTGCTAAGGGAAAGCAGAGTAAAAAATCCCAATCTCTTCAAATTTCCTGATGTTTCATCCTGCTATTGGTGCGTGGAATGTAAGAGGTTTTAATCATCCTGATAAAGTCCTTAGCTGCAAGCGCCTTATTAAGTCCTTTAAGCTTGATATGTTATGTTTATTGGAGACCCGGATTCACTCTCCTGCTCTTTCGGATCCCTTCTTTGAATCCTCCCATTCCCTTTTCCAGAACGAAGACAACCTCCATAATTTTCATTTGTCATCCTCTGGTAGGATTTGGATTAGATGGGATTCTAGTAAACTTAATTTTACCCCCATTCAAGTCACCCCTCATATGATTACCGGGAATGTTCTGATTGGTAACTGCTCTCAATTTCAGCTCACTATTGTTTATGCTGCTAATAATGCCTCTGATAGAAGGGATCTTTGGAACACTATTACCTTGACGGCCCCTCCTGCTGATGTCCCCTGGGCTATCTTAGGGGATTTTAATTGCTGTCGGTTTGGTTCTGAGAAATCTGCCGGTTCTTCCCTCCATCACTCTAATTTGGTATATTTGAATAACATGATTTTTGCTAATGGTTTGATGGATTTTCACTCAGTTGGTAGCTTCTACACTTGGTTTAATCAGCAATCTGTGAATCCTATTTACATTAAACTTGACAGGACTCTTGTTAATGAAGAATGGGGGAAGAGGTTCCCTAGTTCTTTTTGTTATTTTCAAAGCCCGTCATGCTCCGATCACTCTCCTATAATTCTGCATCCGGGAGTGTCTTCTCAATCTAATCACAGATTTATTTTTAAGAATTTTTGGACTAAGCATGATAATTATTGGGTGCTACTGCTAAATGCTTTTTCTGTTCCTTTAAATGGCAACCCAATTTCTCATTTTTGTAATGTTCTCAGGAAGTTTAAAAGGGACATTAAAAATCAACACTGGGCTAATTCTCATTCTCTTAATATACTTTTGGATGATCTTCAAGCTAAACAAATGAACATCCTTGAGCTTATTAAGGTGAATCCTTTGGATGCATTTCTCGGAGCTGCTCTCAAACACATCAATTTAAATATTTCTCAAGCTACCTCAATGCTTTCTAGCTGGATTGTTCAGAGAGCAAAGATTAAGTGGTTGCAACATGGTGAGGATGATCTTAAATTCTTATATGCTAAAATCAGGAGTAGGGTGAGTAGCTCAAAGTTTGTGGTCAACTTATTTGCTTGCAATCCTAGCAATTCTCGTGAGGAGGTTATTCAGTCGATTATCATGTATTTTCAATAGCTTTTTAATCCTCCTCCTCCTTCTTGTATGGATATGGCTCTTTTTCCCATTGGTACTGCATTGCCCGAGAGGTATGATACTTTGCTTAATGCCCCTATTCTGGATGATGAAATTAAGGCAGCTGTTTTTAAAGGATCCTCTAAATCCTCTCCTGGTCCAGACGGGTCCAACTACCATTTTTACAAAACTGGCTGGCATATTATTGGTCCTTATGTTTGTAATGCTATAAGATCTTTTTTTGCTAAAGGTTACATTCCTAGTGGGGTTAAGGCTACTGCTTTAATCATTATTCCTAAGAATCGCAATGCTACCTCTATCACTGACTATAGGCCTATTTCCTTATGTAATACTCTTTATAAAATCATTGCTAAAGTCATTGCAGGCAGGCTTAAACCGATTATGCCTCTTATTATCAAAGATACTCAAGCTGGTTTTGTGAAATCTAAGATATCTACTGATAGCATTTTACTTGCTAATGATATCCTCTCTTTTGTTAATAAAAGAGGGATGGGGAATATCTTTTGTGCTAAGATTGACATTAAGAAGGCCTTTGATTCAGTCTCGAGGGAGTTTTTGCTTGGCAGGTTGGTGCAAAAAGGTTTCCCTAGGTCTTTCATTGGTTGGATCAAGGCATGTATTTCTAATGTTAACTTTTCTGTGGTAATTGATGGTTCCTTGGAAGGCTTCTTCCCTTCTTCTGCGGGTTTGAGGCAAGGTTGCCCGCTCAGTCCTTATCTTTTATGCTTGGTTATGGATTCTTTTTCCAATCTCTTAGAAGCTAGAGGTTTTAAAGGTTTTACTGCTGATACTTATCACCTCTCTCACCTCTTATATGCTGATGATGTGCTTATTTTTGGGGAAGCTTCGATGGATAATTGTAGACTTCTTTCTTCTATTCTTAGCGATTTTGCTAATGCTTCGGGTCTTCATGTTAATTATGATAAGTGCTCGGTCATGTTCTCCAAAAATTCAAGGAATCAGGATTCTTTGTGTCAAGCTTTGTCTATTTTCAATGTTTGTTCCAAGATTTCTTATCTTGGCATTCTTATCTCCTTTAATAGGCTGAAAGTTGCAGACTTCTTACCTTTGTTGGATAGTCTGAATAAGAAATTTTCTGGATGGAAGGCTAATGTTCTGTCTTTTGCTGGCAGACTTCAATACCTCAAATTTGCTATTCAAAACACTATTGCTTATTGGATTAGGGGGTCTATCTTGCCAAAAACTATTGTTAAGTTTTTTAAGAAAACTTGTTCTAAATTCTTATTTTTTGGAGATATCACCTGTTTTAAAAAGCTTCATATGGTGTCCTGGGATAATGTTTGTAAACCAAAAGCGAAAGGTGGCTTAGGGATCCCTAGTTTAAATGCCATTCAGTTTGCATTTAACTGTTCAGTTATTTATAAAATATATAACTGTCCCTCTCCGTTGTCTACTTGGCTGTCTACCTAATACTCCTCCCCCTGGAGACCCCCTAATCCTAAAGCTAGTAAATTCTGGTTTTCGATTTGCCTCACTGCTGCTACTGTGAAGAAGAATTTTAAGTTTACTATTACTCCTAGCGCTCCTATTTCATTTCATTGGGATCGCTGGTGTAATAATAATACTCTTTCTGAGCTTGTGGGGAATTTTTCTTTGGACTGCTTCTTGCTCCCTTTACTTAAGCATTATATCTAAATATCTTGTTGGAATTTTGTTGTTGACGTTCCTCAACAGCTCAGGGAATTACTGTGTGGTTTCCCGATCTCTGCTTCTGATGGGCCTTGTATTTTTTGGAAGGACTGTGTCAAGGTCAAATTTAGTTCATTTATTGAGGAGTTTTACAGTTCTTTGCCGGATTGTTCGTGGCACAATCTGGTTTGGCATAAAAGTTATATTCTGAAGCATTCTATTTTTGTTTGGTTGGCTCTTGTTGGTGGCCTGAAAACGCAAGATGCCTTGAGACTTAGGGATATTCATGTGCCTATGCTTTGTTCTTTCTGTTCTGTTGCTCCAGAAATGGTTAATCATCTCTTTTTTGAATGTCCTTTTTCGTCCTCTGTGCTTAACACTCTGCTTCCTGCCACTAACAATTTTCTGCTTAGACCCACTGTGCTGCACCTGTTACAATGGTTGGATTCTGATTATACTGGTTCGCTCTTGAGCAAAAAATTCTATTTACTTATGGTTTGCTGTATTCTGTACCATCTTTGGAGAGAGCAAAATTGTAGAAGATTTGGTAATGATTACCATAGTTCTTCTACATTAATTTTTAATATCAAGAAAGTGATTTTTGGCAAAGTTCTAAAATGAAAAAATTCAGACATTTTGCTGAGTCAATTATGATCTTTTTGGATGAGGATCCTGTGAAGGTTTTTCTGGTTTTGATGGTTTTGCAGAAATTGTCTGGATTGGTATGGGATAGCTGCTCTGGTCTGTTCGTTTGCGACTATTTTATGGAGGACCTTTTTCACCATTTTGACTCTGTCCCTCTCGGGCTTTTCAAGTATTCGTATTTCAGGCACTTTGGCACTACTTGGACAATGATGAAGCTCCCTCTCTATATACCTTGGATGGTCTTTGGGCAACCAGGGATATGGTGGATCAGTATTTTATTATCCCCTGAGTCCAGGCAGTTTGGTGCGGGAGCTTTGTTTTTGCTGGAATATTGGACTCATTTATTTTGGTATCTCTTTCATTGCAGTAGCTCATTCTGGAACACTGTATTGTGGGTCATGGTTGGTTCTTCTGTCTCTGCTAGAGGAAACCACTTCACTGTTTTGGCAATTCTTCCCATTAGCTGTTGCCATCTTGCTGCTTCCTTCATGCCAAATGTTGGGAATTTTTTCCTTTTGGGGCTGTCTGATCCCATCCTGTTGGGATTGTTGAGTCTAGTAATTAGGTTGTTAAGCCTAAG